GAAAAAAAAAAAATATTTTGAATTGAGTGATAATAAGGATATGGCATATCAAAAACTGTGCAGGTGCAGCTAAAGCTATACTTACAGAAAAACAACCTTAAATGCATATTTTTTAAAAGAAAGTCTGAAAATTAATAATCTAAACTAGCTCAAGAAATAAATAAGAATAGTAATAATCACAGTGTTAATTTGAAAAGAAGCAAAACAGAAAGGCAAGACATGATAAGGAGCAGACTAAATTCAACAGGAAACAAATATACTAAAAAGAAACATCAACGTAGCCCAAAAGACAATTCATTTTGTAAAGATGAATAAAACTGATAAATCCCTAAAGCAAAATAAATCAAGAAAAAAATTGAGAAAAGTCAATATTAAAGAAAAGGAGAACATCAGTACATATCCTACAAACATTAAACATGTAACTAGGGCTGTTATCAACAACTATACGCCAATAATTTGATATTTTAGATTAAAGGGACTAACTGGAAAACACAAACCTGACACAAGAAAAAATAGAAAACCTGAATATTCCTTTATCTATGAAAGGCCCAGATAACTTCTCATAAACATTTAAAGAAAAAAAATTTACACAAATACTTTTAGAAAATAAAAAATAAATGTACTTATCAGCTCATTTACTGTGACCAGCATAGTATGAATACTAGGACCTCAAGTTATTACAAAAAAGAAATACTATAAATTATCTTTATTATTAACGTATGAGGAAAAATCCTTTAAAAAGTTACCAAGTAAAATTTACTGACATATCAAAAGGATATATCATCAGGAGCAGTTCATTCTACAATTGTAATCATGATTTAACATTCAAATATCAATGCTTAAAATTCATTACATTAATAGAAAAAATATTAAAAATCATTACATTAATAGAAAAAAAAGAAAAAAATAACATATTCTTGACAGTGACATAAAAAGCATTTGATAAAATTAAAAAGCCATTCATGAAAACCAGGAGCACAAAGGAACTATTTATTCTGTTAAGGAGAACCTACAAAAACCCAAAAGCAAACATATTAAATAATGGGAACACAGTAAGAATCTCCATTATTATTACTTTTATTCATTAATGAACAAAAAGTAGTCACTACGATAAGGTAAGAAAAAAATTAAAGGTGTACAAACTAAAGCAGAGAAGGGGAAACTGTCCCTATTACAATATATATAATATATAATAAAGTTATATTCATAGAAAATGGAAAAAAACCCTACAGATAAACTATTAAAATTAATAGCAAGGTCACTGGAAACAAGGTTGATATTCAAAAATTAATTGTACTTCTATATACTAGCATCAAGAAGAATATTAAAGTTAAAAACAAGAACATTCAGGGGTGCCTGGGTGGCTCAGTTGGTTGACCGCCCAACTTTGGTTCAGATCATGATCTCACAGTTTGTGAGTGTGAGTCCTGCATCAGGCTCACTGTTATCAGGGCAGAGCCCGCTTTGGATCCTCTGTCCCCCCCACCTCTGCCCTTCCCCTGCTCACACTGTCTTTCCCAAAAACAAATAAACATTTATAAATAAATAAATAAAACCAATAACATTCAGAATAGCACTAAAGATCAGATAAGTAGGAAAAAATCTAAGACATGCAATAACTACTCAAAAAAGTATAAAACTATGAGAGAATATACATAATATCTAAATAAACAATGATATACCATGTTCATTGACGGAACATTCAATTTTATAAAATGTCAATTTTCCCCAAACTGAACTATATTCTATATAATCCCAATCAAAATTCCAAAACTGAAAAGAGAGAGCATGTGTGTGTATAAACTGATAAGCTGATTCTAAAATTCACTTGGAAATGCAAAGGGGTCAAAAGAGCCAAGATAATGTTCAAGAACAAAAACCTAAATAAAGAAAATGGATACTCACAGTATCAAACATCAAGACTTATTACAAAGCTAGTAATTAAGATGATGTGATATTGACAAAACTCATAGAATATTGAGTTCAGAAACAGACCCATACACACCCAGTCATCTGATTTATGATACAGATAATACTGCAGTGAAGTGGGGAAAGGGTGGTCTTTTCATTAAATGATACAAGGTCAACAGGATTTACACATGAAAAAAATGACCCTTCCCTCACATCATACCCAAAATTCTAGGTAGACTGAAGATCTAAACATAAAAGGAAGGGCGCCTGGGTGGCTCAGTTGGTTAAGCATCTAACTTCATTAAGCTCAGGTCATGATCTCACAGTTCGTGAGTTCGAGTCCCACATTGGGTGAGCTGAAGCCCTGCCTCGGGTGAGTGCGAGGTCTGCTTCTTTCTCTTTTTCTCTCTCTGCTCCTTGAAGGATTCTCTCTCTCTCTTTTTCTCTTTGCCCTTGCTCCCTTGTGTCCGCTCTCTCTCAAAAAATTTAAAAAGAAAAATTAAAGGGAAGTTAATAAAGCTTGCTATTTACTTATTTGTTTATTTTCTTCCCATTATAATTAAGCTTTTAAAAGAAAACATAAGGGAATGTCTCATGACCTTCCAATTGGTAACGATTTTCTTGAAAGGCCACAGAAAGTAGTAACCATGAGGGGCAAAACAGAGACATATAAAGCAGATTCTTATAAATAACTTCTGTTCATCTAAAGACACCATTAAGAGAATGACAAGGCAAGCCAGAGTAAAAGATATTTGTAATTTACACACAATGTATAGAAACTGCAAATCTTAAAAAAGAAAGAAAGAAAGAAAGAAAGAAAGAAAGAAGACAATCTAATAGAAAATAAACATATAAACAGGTGCTTAACTTCATTGTTTATCAAGGAAATGAATGATTAATTATTATGGCTCAGTATGGCTAAACTGAAAAAGATGATAACAAGTGTTGATGGAGATACAGAACAGGAATTCTTATACATTATTAGGAATGTAAATTGGTATAATCCCTTTAGAAAACTGTTTGGCAGGTTCTCCTAAAGCCAAATATATGTAAAACCCAGTAATTCTACTCCTAGCTATATACCCAACAGAAATCTGTATGTGCATCTGTCAAAAGGCTTATATATGACAGCGCTGTTTGTAACAAACAGGCCAAAACAAAAACAAAGTAAATGCTCATCATCATAAGGATGAATAAATGATGGGATAATCATCCAACATTACACAGCAGTGAGAATGCCTGATCTACAAGTACATACAATACAGATGAATCTCACAAACATACTGCTCAACAAAAATAAGCCAGAGATAAAAATACATGTTTTATGATTTCACTATAAGAAGTTTCAAATGAGCCAAAATTGTTCGATCTGTGATGTCAGAAGTCAGGATAATGTTCATACTTGGGTGGGTGGTGAGTAGTGACTAGAAAGGATCACAGAGCAGGCGTCTGAAGTACTGGCTATGTTCTGTTTCTTGGTCTGGATACTAATTATACAACAGTGTTTACTTATGAAAATTCACCACGGCTCTAAGATTTTACAACTTTTCTAATATTTCTGTTTCTATATTATACTCCAATTTCTACTAAAAAATGAAATTTTTTATAGCGCAAGAGGACACTTAATTGGAAAATGTGTGCATAATGACAGCCAAGATATTCTTAAAAAACAAAAAACTAAAGGAACTACAAGACAGTAAAATGTATCTATTTTAAAACTACAGCAATTAGGGGTGCCTGAGTGGCTCAGCTGGTTATGGGACCGACTCCTGATTTTAGTCCAGGTCATGATCTTGTGGTTCATGAGTTTGAGCCCCATGTTGGGCTCCTCTGCTATCAGTGTGAAGCCTGCTTGGGATTCATATTCTCTCTCTCTCTCTCTCTCTCTTCCCTTCCATTGCTCCTCCCCCACCCTCAAAAAATAAAGAATAGAGAGTGACACAGTAGATACAGAATTTTTTACTATTTTTTACTATGGTACAGATAGCATTTCAATATGTAAGTGCATTTACTTGTGCATTTAAATAAAAGCATTAAACCTGTAAATGACATAACAAAGAATTCTGTCTCTAACAGACAAGAGAATTTTATTCAATGCCATCAATTCAGAAAAGTCATTTTATCTCTCTGGACTTCAGAAATTGTCTTTAAAATGACAGGTTTGAAATAAGCTGTTTACTATGATTTATAATCAAATTAATCAAGAAGTTGTAATTTTGGTTAGGAAATAGCAATGATGAAAGTTAATTTTAAAGCTTGGAGCAGTATTCAAGATAATAAAGATAGAAATAGTTACCAGATTTACCCAGCATAAAACATGAGGCCAGTGGGGACTTAAGGAAAAAGAAAGAAAAGAACTAACGAGTAGCAGATACTACAGATGCACATAATTACTGAATTTATGGGTAAGCTTCCTTGGAGCCCTGGAGATAAAACCTGTACCAAGAAACTACAGATCATCTCATTCCTACCTTACTAGGCAACTATAGGTTGATGAAACCCAAAATATTGTACAACATACACAAACACAATGTGCTACATAAAAATCTAAACACTCTGGGGGCGCCTGGGTGGCTCTGTTGGTTAAACGTCCAACTTCAGCTCAGGTCATGATCTCCCGGTTTGTGAGTTCAAGCCCCGTGTCAGGCTCTGTGCTGACAGCTCAGAGCCTGGAGCCTGCTTCTGACCTTGTGTCTTCTCCTCTCTCTGCCCCTCCCATGCTCATGCTCTGTCTCTCTCTGTCTCTCAATGATAAATACGTTAAAAAATGATAAACATTAAAAAAAATTAAAAAAAAAAAATCTAAACACTCTGAACCAGTATAATTCAAACCCATGTAACTAAAGGTTCACCTTTGGCTCTTTCTTCTTTACAGTCTATGGGAAAGCTGAATATTATTTCAAAGTTTAAAACTGAACTCTATTCGATTATGCTTTCAATTTCTTTCACTGGTACAATGTTAACAAGTATTTCATTATTTATTTTTAAATGTTTTTCTATGTTTCAAGGAAGAAGACCCAAATAAAAACTGCTCAAAGTTTTATCTAGGTAGAGGTGTGCAAGTATTTAACCAAGTTTGAAGCAATTACCTTGCAAATGGAAGTCGCATCAACTTGTACTGTTTACTAGTCCGTTTCTTCTTGCTACTTGGCAGTAGAAAGGGACTCTGGTGAAACTATTTTTGAAATAAAGAATACAGAAAAGGAAAAGGAAAAAAATTTCTAATCTCATTAAATGTTTGTTATTGAAGCACCAAATTATACAAGTATACCAATAGCAATAGAACAATTCTTGCATTAGCCTTTGATAGCTGAATGAGAATAATGTGATAAGATTAAACATAGTTCATCCTTTATCATGCCATCCAAAGATAATCATTACTATGATTTTGGTATATAAATTCCCAAATAAATTGTCTTCTGTGCATATGAATAAATATACCTGTGTATACCTATATAATATCTTGACATAAATATGCAATATACTCATGCCACATATGCATTGTGTAATATATGATTGCACTTTATAATCCATATTTCTTAATGGTCTTTTACATTTAAAGTCTGGGTGATTTTAATATATCTTTTAAATTTTTGCTTATCTATAGTATTTTCTAAATTTTCTCAGACATTTTTTGAACAGGTTTATTTATTTAATAAAGATCATAAAATTAAGCAACACACAACTATGTTTTATTATGGTGCTAACCTGTAATAGAAACAAGGGTATAACCAAATCAACAAACTAACTTTGATAATCACATGGAAATGCAAAGAACCCAGAATAGCTAAAACAACTTTGAAAAAGAAGCAGTTGGAGGGCTATAATTGACATAGTATAGTATTAGCATAAAGACAGACAAAAAGATCAGTGAAATATAAGAGTCCAGAAATAGACCCACACATATTTGGTCAATTAATTTTTGAAAAAGGTACAAAAGCCAAATGAGGAGCCTAGACTTCCATACTCACCAGGCTATCACAAGGCAACTGTCCTCCAAACTGTACTGTCAGAAAAGGCCAAGAAGAGAGGTGGGACATCCCAGGGGTAATGAGGATACCCCCTGTACCAGCAATGTCAGTGGAGAACACATGGGGACTCTGGACGTCCATTCTTACTTGCTAATAACAAGGAGCCCTTTTCCTCTACTCTAGGGTGGGGATAGAAGAGGTCTAGTAGAAAGTCAACTTTTTCACCACTCTTGAATAATAACAACCTCCCCCTTTATGATTCCCCCAATCCTGCTGTCAGTGGAGGCCATGAAGTCATGAGGCACCCTACTCTGTCCCAGCCAGGGTGGTGTCAGCCTGAAGTCCTAGCTCCATCCATCAGTAAGGAGACACCCTCTTCACCAGGGTGACAACAGAAGCTGAGTGGGGAACCTAAACTTTGACCCCTCCAACTTGGCAGTAGGCGGCACATCCCTTTATCACTGGCATTATGATACTATCAAATGGTGCCTGTCAAAACAGAATGTTTAAATAAGATCTGGAATTTCTTAATACAATACCCAAATGGCCAAGATTTTTTTTTTTTTTCTTGAGAGAGTATGAGCAGAGGACGGGCAGAGAGGGAGAGAGAGAGAATCCTAAGCAGGTCCTACACTGTCAGCGTGGAGCCTGATGCAGAGCTGGAACCCATGATCCTGTGAGACCATGACCTGAGCCAAAACCAAGAGTCAGATGCTTACCCGACTGAGCCACCTAGGCATCTCCCAAGATATTTTAATATTAAATAACTCATTGCACCAAGAATTAGGAAAAGGCCTAAATTTGAAAATTATAAATTTGAAAATGAAAAGACAATCAACAGACAGCAACAACAAGATAATAATACAGCACCAACATTAAGATGCTGGAATTACCTAACAAGGATTTTAAAGCAACCATCATAAAAATGTTTCAATAAACAATGACAAACATGCTTAAAACAAATGAAAAAATTAGAAAATCTTGCAAAGAAACAGAAAATCTCAGCAAATAAAAAGAAGATATAAAAAAGAAACAAAAATACAATAACCAAAATAAAATGAGTTAAATACTCAATAGACTCAAAAACAGAGGGGGAAAAACCTGTGAATTTGAACAGAAAGCAACAGAAAGCATCCAATGTGAGCAAGAGAGAAGCAACTGAAAATAATTAAGAGGTTCAGGGATTTATGGGACTATAACAAAAGATATAACACTCATGTCACTGAAGTCCCAAAAGGAGATAAAGAGGGCAGATGTGAAAAAGTTTGAGAGATAACGGCTGAAAATGTCCCAAACTTGGCAAAAGTAATCAACCCACATATTTAAGCCAAGTGAATCCTCAAAAGGCTACAACTTTAAGAAATCCATGCAAGGATACATCATAGTCATATTTCTCAAAACTAAAGATAAAAATCTTCAGAGCACTGTGAAAAAATGGCACCTTCCTACAGAGTTATCAAAGAATGAAAAAAAAAAAATAAGCATCTGACTCAGGTAAAGAAGTAACAATAAAATAAACCACAGGAAAGGGGAAGAAAGGACTTACTACTCAAGATAAAAGCAAAAATTAGTAAGTTTGAAACAACAAAATAAAATTAAAAGTTGAAAATTAAACCCCAAAGATTACTATTTTAAAAAAGAAAAAAAAAAGAAATGAAAAAAAACACAAGCACCTAAACTAGTAGGGGAAAAAAAAAAAGGAAAAGCCCAAATACACAAAATTAGTCAACTGGGAAAATATAACACAGACAAAATTAAAAAATAACAAGACTACTTTGGTCAACTCTGTGCAAACAATTTGAAAACATGTCTGAGATAATAATTCTAAGGAAATATAACTGAATAAAACCAACCACAAAAGAAAGAAATTTTCCTAAGCAAACTAATATCCACAGAAGAAATAAAGTTAACAAAGTGTGACCATTCCTACCAAGAAAGACCCAGGTCCAGATGGTTCCACAGAATTCTATGAAGCATTTAAAGAAAAAATAATTCTAATACTGTATCATCTTTCCAGATCAGAGGAAAAGGAAAACATCCAAATTCCAGTTCATATATATTTTTATCAATGCCTGAAGACTGTATAAAAAGAAAATCTCACTTGTGAATTAACAATAAAAAAATTCCTAAACAAAGCACTGGCAAAAAGAATTTAGCAGCACATTGTAAGAATAATAAATCATTTCTGAAATTTATTCTAGAATTACAAAATTAGGAAAGCTACTAAAATAAATTATCATAATACACCTAAAAAGAAGGACCATATGATTATCACCATAGATGCTTAAAAAAGTATTTTACATTGTTTATCATTTTTTTATTTAAAAAGCTAAGTGGGGGCACCAGGATGGCTCAGTCAATTAAGCAACCGACTCCTGATTTCAGCTCAGGTCATGATCTCAACAGTTCGTGAAATCCAGAGCTGCCTCAGGCTCCACACGGACAGCACAGAGCCTGCTTGGTATTCTCTCTCTCTCTCTCTCTCTCTCTCTCTCTCTCTCTCTCTCTCCTCTGCTTGCATGCATGCACTCTCTCTCTCTCAAAATAAACTTAAAATAAAAAGCTAAATAACATATAAGACAAATATGTACATTACCCTTAAAAAAAGGGATCATTGTTTTTTTAAAAAAAATATTTTGCTTTTTAATTTTTTTTAATGTTTATTTATTTTGAGAGAGACAGCATGATTGGGGGAAAGACAGAGAGAGAGGGAGAGAGAGGATCCATGTGCTGTCAGCACAGAGCCTGTCATGGGCTCAATCCCAAAAACCAAGAGATCATGACCTGAGCTGAAATTAACTGACTGAGCCACCCAGAGCCACAAAAACAGGATCATTCTCAATGAGGAAACACTATCCAACATTTTATTAAAATTTATTGCTTTCTAGTATGTTCTAGACATTGTTGTTATATAGACAGAAATGCTATACTCAAGAATCTTATGTTCTGTTAAGGTGAGTAATAAAATTAATGAGTAAAATTATGTCATATAGTGTTAAGTTCTAAAGAGAAAAATTAAAGCAGAGAAGCAGAGTATAAAATGTAGGGGCAGGGATGGGGAAGGATTCAAATTTATATAAGGTTGCCAGGGAAGGCTTGACTGAAGTCACTCTTGAGTCAAGATTTGCAGGAAGTAGGGAGTAGGCCATATGAAAGAAGAACAAGACCAAGGGCCCAGAGGTGGCAGCTTGCCTGTGTTTGAAGAGTGGGAGGAGACCTGCAGATTGAAGATGTTAAAGAGCAGAAGGAGGAGAGTAGTCAATGAGGTGAGAGAAAGAACACAAGTTTCAGTATTCAGACAATAATAGGCAAATAGATCACATGGGAAGCCACTGGAGAGTTTTCAGCAGAGACTTCTGTTTTAACAGTATTAATCTGGCTGCTACGCTGGGAAGAGAATATAGAGGCAAGGCAGAAGCAAGAAGCCCACGTTGGGATGCCACTCCAAGAACGTGGGTAAGAGAAAACGGGGGCTTGGATGGGTGGTGAAAGTGAGGGTTGTGAGAAGTGGTTAAGACTCTGGACTGAGCTTTAAGCAGCACTAAAACCATTTGCTAAGGGATCAGGTACGGGATGTGAGGAAAAAACAGGAAAACAGAATTGCAGTTACCTGAAACGAAGACCCCCAAAAGGAACTGGTTTGGTGGCAAGTGCAAAATTTAAGATACCTCTTAGACATCCAAATAGAAATGCGAAATAAGTAGTGGACTAGGTATTGTCTGGAGTTCAGAGGAGACAGGGAGGCTGCAGACGCAAATTTGGGAGTCATCAGCATTTAACAATAATCAAATCCGTGAGAATGGATGAATCATTTAGGGAACAAATGTAGATAGAAGAAGCCCAAGAACTGAGTTCTGGGGCACCCAAAATTTAGCAGTCAGGAAAATAAAGAGGAAACAGCAAACAGACTAAAAAAGAATAATCAGAAAGGTAGGAAGAAACATAGGAGAATATAGTGTTGTAAAAGTCACATGAAGGTCAACGTAAGGACCAAGAACTATCAAGAGGTTTTGGTAACATGGAGGTCAATTTCCAGAAAAGCACTTTTAGTGGAGTGGTGATGAAACTCCAATTGGTGTGGGTTCAAGAGAAACTGGAGACAGTGTGAACAATTCTCTCCGAGTTTTGCTATAAAGGAGAAAAATGAGAAAGTAGCTGGGGGTGGGGAGTTATTTGGAGTAAGAGGTTTCATTTTGTTTTGTTTTATTTTTTAAAGACGGGAGATAACATTTTTGCTTCTAATAGGAATAATCCAGAAGAGAGGGAAAAAATTAATAATGCAAGAGGAAAGGGCATTCTACACTAATGTGAAGCCAAGCAAAAGACAACCCAAGTATCCAACATAGTGTTGGATAGTGTTAACAGGAACCTAGTTAAATAGATTAGAGGTCCACTCTGGATCTATCCTAAATAGCACTGGAAAAGAATGAGGAAGCATTTCTTGTAATCATATGGCAAGATCTTCAAGATAGGTGACATTAAAAAAAAGTAAGGCATAGGACAATTAGGGATAGTATATTATCTTTTGTGTAAGAAAGAAAATTAAGAAAATATTTATATGTTTTGTTTTAATATAAAGAAACAAAGCAGTTACATGTAGGTAGTGTGGGGAGATGAAAGGAGGAAGAATAAAGTGGCTGAAAGCAGAACAGAAGCTTATATGAGATTTCATTCTATATACTTCATTATATTGTTCTGATATTAGAACATCTATAGTCCCCATCATTCTCTTCCCCAAATAAAAAGGAACTACAAAACTCAAAACTTGATATGCAAAAGTTAGTCTGTTAAATAGCAAGTCTAAGAAAGTAGATCCCAAAGTTATATGCTGTCCCTTCATCATCCAGCTCCTCCATTTACTGTTTTTACCTTCTTCTAAATCCAGATGCTGATCTCAGCCTTGAGTTCTCCAAAGAGAGCCACACAAAAAGCATCGGGAATAAAGTTGACTTTACTAAATATTTTTTAAAGAACTAGTGGAAGGAAGGAGCTTTGTATCACATAATTCACAAGTAGTTGAGCAATGCTTTTAGGGCTATCTGTTCTCCAAAGTTCCTCCAGATCTTGCTAATTAATTAGCTTCTTTCCCTTACTCTCTAAGTCAATTCCTGTACTAACTTTAGACTCCCCACTGCTATATCTGATTCTGATCTTAGTAATTTATTCAAGGCAACTTGATTCAGTCCTGCAAGCTGATCAGCAAAACAGAGCCCCCTCCCTGACTTTGCCTACCCACCCACCCACCCAGTGAAAAGCAAGCATCTCTTCTCCTTAGAGGATACTAAATGTATAAGGTATACCTCTGCTCACTGGTTGTACTAGGTATCAAATTTATAATGCTAAGAGCTACATCTCCTGTGAACATTATTTCACTGGGACATGTACACAAATCTTTTCTGTATCCAAATGTGGATGAAGTTAGGAGATAAAAGTACACATTCTTTGGCTAGCTTTTATAAAGCTTCTGACAAAGGAGCTAACCACTGATCACAAAGGTTGAAAGAGTTCCTATTTTCTTACCAGAAAGACTATGTATTTAAAAGCCTTTTTATAAATGACTAAAAATAAGTTTTTAAAAGGAGAGATTTGCAGAAAATTAGAAAACACAGGAAGATGCACACACAATAATAAAAAAGTAATGACAGCTAACATTTATTGCATTCTTCCTATTGTGAGGACACATGCTAACCACATTTAACTCTCACACTAATTCTTCATAGATGTACTACCATTAGCCACACTACGCACAAGAGGACACTAAGATTCAGAATTAAATGCCAAAGTCACAGGACCAGGAAGTTAACAGAGCTGGGAGCTAAATATAGGCAATTCCATTTAAAAGCTGCCCTATACGCCTGGGTGGCTCAGTCAGTTGGGTGTCCGACTTCAGCTCAGGTCACGATCTCGCGGTCCGTGAGTTCGAGCCCCGCGTCGGGCTCTGGGCTGATGGCTCAGAGCCTGGAGCCTGCTTCGATTCTGTGTCTCCCTTTCTCTCTGCCCCTCCCCCGTTCGTGCTCTGTCTCTCTCTGTCTCAAAAATAAACGTTAAAAAAAATTAAAAAAATAAATAAATAAAAGGTGCCCTATAAAGCACTAAACTCCATTACTATCAAGAATTTACCTACAATTGGGACTTCACTAACCTTTCTTCAGTTTATTTATTATGTATATTTTGCCTTCTCATTAGATACTACTTTACAACAATTATGTTTCCTATTTAGATAATTGAGTTAACTTCACTAATATTTGGCTTTCCTCCCTTCCTAATTTTACTACTGATTTTATTTTCGTGATAGATTACAAGAGGTATTTAACTATCAATATTAATGCTTTATCTGCTATATGTTTAATTTTCCCAGTCTGCCATTGGCTTTTTATTTTTATGATTTTTAGCCTTCTAAGAATGTTCTTTGAGAAAATCCACCAATAGTTTCCTTTATGCCTTCTTCTTGCTTTGTTTCTAGGTATAGAAAGGCCTCTCCTATTTAAAATGAATATATTTGTATTTCTTATTTTATATGATTTCTTTTTTTACATTTAAATCCATCTAGAATTGGGGCGCCTGGGTGGCGCAGTCGGTTAAGCGTCCGACTTCAGCCAGGTCACGATCTCGCGGTCCGTGAGTTCGAGCCCCGCGTCGGGCTCTGGGCTGATGGCTCAGAGCCTGGAGCCTGTTTCTGATTCTGTGTCTCCCTCTCTCTCTGCCCCTCGCCCGTTCATGCTCTGTCTCTCTCTGTCCTAAAAAAATAAATAAACATTGAAAAAAAAAAAAAATTTTAAATCCATCTAGAATTTAGAGAATGGTATGTAGTAGGATCTGCCTCTATTTTTTTTCCCCCAAAATAGTTGTTCAATTGTGCCCATCTTTTTTTTTTAATAATACAAATCCTTTTCTAATTTGAAATACTATTTTTTCTATCAATGTCTTTTTTAGCTGTTTTTTAGTTGTTCAGGGGCCATTATGTTCCACTGAGCTGTCTAATCCTATGTTACTTCTAATCAAAACCTAATTTTTACGTAAAAATTTCAATAAACCAATTATGCCATATGATAATGTGCTGTTAGCCAGTTAAAATTGGTGTTATCATTTCTTTGCACAAAGTTTAAGTTAGTTTAATGCTACTTAATCTTAATTATCCTTAGTAATGCTTAAAAAATTACACTACTTACATATAAACTCTACTTACCTCAGAAAGAGTGCTCATTTCAATTGCAGTTATCAAGTTATTGTTCATGAGTGCTTCTATTTCTATAAGTTTCTTATTCTGTGTTAAAATAAAGACACTTTTAATCAATTAAGATTTGGAGCTTATTATACCATACATGTATGGATGTCATCAGTTGAGAAGACTTAGAAAATAACTGAGATCACACTGAAATAAAAAGGTACTACATGCTATAGTTCACACACACACACACACACACACACACACACACACACACACCTTGAATGCTTCTGAGTTCTCAATTATAAATTTTCCTACAATCATTTCTCTTTCTTCTCACAGTAATAATACATCCTACAGCAAGTTAACATAGTTTATCAGGGAATTGAACACTCATGAATAGTAGATCAATTTTTCCATTTTAAATTAATTTCTGCTCATTTTGGTGTTAGATCTATAAATTGCAGCCTAGCTAACCATTGGCTCTTACTGACCTGTCCGTGGACAGAGTTGGAAATTGGAAGGGAAAACAACGACTACAATCTTCATTCTATTTGGTGTGTAGCCAGTGAAATGCTGGGATTAAAGAGAATACAAACACTCTGGGAACTCCCCTCCTTTCATTGGAGGAATTATGCCCATCGTTGTAATGCACCAAGTTTTGCTAATGATAAACAACCAAATAATGATCAAGGTATTATACTGGTTTGCAGGGCTATAAGTGACATTTAGAATGTAGAGTTAAAGACACCTATTTTATTACCCATTAAGTTTGTCCACTAACATGGCATATTCTTTCAAAAATTTTTTACAATAATTAGATATTTGAAAAACACTTTCAGAGCTTCTTTAATAACACAGTTAAGATTTTAGTTATAATTTAGAATTCAAACACAATATAGTATTCATACCAAATTATTTAGTTTTAGGCGAAGAAATGCATTCTCAAAATTCAGTTTCTCCACTTCTTTTTGCAATAGCGTTTTTTCAGTTGTAACCCTTCGAGAATTTTCTTTTTCTCTACTAAGAGCTTGAGCTAATGCCCTGTTGTTGTGCTTTAAAGAAATTTTGAAAATGGAAGAATTATCTGTAAAAAAAATTTTTAAGTTAATATTGAACTTATATCTTAAGTTTTCACATCCTTATAAAACTGTTTTAGGCAACATATATTTCACTTATAAGTCTTAACTAAAGGCTGGAAAACAACAGAATGACAATATTAAAAAAAAAATGTATACAGACCAGAAATAAAAGCCAGACAGAGATGAAGAACAAAAGAACTGTAAGGAATGCAGAATGTTGTAAATAGAGTTAGGGATAAAGGATGTCTAGGACAGATGCAGGATCCTAGATAATTAGACCAGTCATAAAAACTAAATCTTGATACTTGCTGCCCTACCTTCCTTCCTACTTTGACTAGGAGGTAGAATGGAGAAGCTGATTCCAAAGCTCTAACTGGAGATGTCCCATAGATATTAGGGTAGCCATTAAAATCTCAAAGCCAGTTTCTGTGGCTCCAGAATGGAACACATCAGTTAATGCTTCCAAAGCCCATTTTTCAAAATTTTGAGTGAAAGGGACCATAATGAGTGTAAAGTTGGACAGACCATCTAAACCCTGTGGGATTTTCTTTTTTTTTTATTTTAAAAAAAAAAATTTTTTTTTCAACGTTTATTTATTTTTGGGACAGAGAGAGACAGAGCATGAACCGGGGAGGGGCAGAGAGAGAGGGAGACACAGAATCGGAAATAGGCTCCAGGCTCTGAGCCATCAGCCCAGAGCCTGACGCGGGGCTCAAACTCACGGACCGCGAGATCGTGACCTGGCTGAAGTCGGACGCTTACCCGACTGCGCCACCCAGGCGCCCCTAAACCCTGTGGGATTTTCTATTGCTACCCTAAATATCCAATTCTTATTTCTTGGCATTTACTGCAATCTAAACTCGATGCCTTCTCTTTACAAGCACTATGTAAATATAATTTAAATCAGAAATGCTTCTGTGTTGTTAGCAGAGAAATTTAATCATGAATTCCTTGGTAAAGCTCACCTTAAATATAGTGTGTTCCCTTAGTACACATAAACCATACTTACATTTTCATAATTTAGATTTAAATGCTACTATTCAACAATATATCCCACTGAATGGAAGTTTAGTATCTATAAAATAAGTTTATAAAAGTAATAACATATTTTAAATATTCAAGCATTGTTTGGGCATCAAAAAAAGGGTCCAAAAAAGTACTTTATCTTTTGCATAAAGAAAGTAGCTTCACACAGCTACCTTTGACACAGAAAACAGACTAGAACGAAAACAGACTAGAACCAGTTTAAGACTTCCAGAGCTAGGGGCGCCTGGGTGGCGCAGTCGGTTAAGCGTCCGACTTCAGCCAGGTCACGATCTCGCGCTCCGTGAGTTCGAGCCCCGCGTCAGGCTCTGGGCTGATGGCTCAGAGCCTGGAGCCTGTTTCCGATTCTGTGTCTCCCTCTCTCTCTGCCCCTCCCCCGTTCATGCTCTGTCTCTCTCTGTCCCAAAAATAAATAAACGTTGAAAAAAAAAAGACTTCCAGAGCTAAAGGATAATATTTTCCTGTTGCACTCCTCAAACTCCGGATGTTCCTTCATAATAGTGAGTGTGCAATGGTCCTGCCAAAGAGAATAGCAAACAGCCACTACACAAGGTGGTCTAATATACCACATGATTCTAGAGACCTGGGTAGGAGCAACATTAAGATTTAAAGATACTCAGGAGGTTCAGCTATTTCAGAGGGCACACACAATTACCCTTCAAACATGTTATATCTACAGGAAACCTTCTCTACTCCTGCTGAGATGGATAGGAAACACTGAGATAAGTTTCAGAAGTCATGGAAATTTATATTGGCAGTTTTTCCCACTTTTTTTTTTTTCCCTTCTGACCTCTTAGTTCCAGAATCCATGAAACCTATCTCCAAAATGTTCAATACCATCATGAGCTTTGGCTATATAAAATCACCCATGACGACACTCTACCTGGGCCAATCATTCTAGATTGCCCATCATCCAATTGCTACAGCATACTAGAACAATCTGTCACTTGTTTTTTAGCTCTTTTCCTGAAATGTCACATTGGTATTTTCTTTGCAGTGTAGGAGGTAGCTGCCTTAGGCTACCCTGGCCTCACTGCTGAAAATTCTGCTGTCACCACTGAGAGTAAATCATCATATCCATTAAACTAATAAGAGTTGAAGGAGACAGAAAGGATTGAATGGACAAAAAGTATCGCTTAACAAAAATTGTCATTTTAGTCATTTTCTATACATGATAAAATGAAGTGCCAAATACTGTATCAATTCTCCAAGGGAAAGTAAAAATGTGAGCATACTTTAAAACCAACAGCACTTACTTAGTATTTTTGTTTTGATTTTTGAAGCAAGAGAAACATTCAACTTCCCAGTCTTTGAAATTCTGTCTTTCACATGTCTCTTAATTCCTGAGGTAAAAAGTGAGCTAGTTTCCATCACTGGGTTCTCCATCACTGAAGTAAAAACAAGAAAGAAAGAAATCAGAGCAATGATTAATAAAAGAAAAAAGGGTATCTGATACATTCCAGAAGGTAACAATCATGACTTATATGGTATAGTTTGTTTGTATGTAAGTATTTACAGGGGTGCCTGGGTGGCTCAGTCAGTTAAGCATCCAACTTCGTTTCAGGTCTGATCTCACTCTTCATGAGTTTGAGCCCCGGATTGGGCTCTGTGCTAACAGCTCAGAGCCTGGAGCCTGCTTCGGATTCTGTGTCTCCCTCTCTCTCTGACCTTCTCCCACTCACACTCTGTGTGTGTCTCTCTCAAAAATAAATAAACATTAAAAAAAAAAAAAGTATTTACAAAACGCTTTGTATAAAATCTGAAAGTATGCAAGTAGCCAGGAGTGGTTTAAAGTGGTATCCAAAAAAGGTAAATGACTATTTTTTCATTCAAATCTATATTATTATGTCTACATACCAGGAGCTAGGTTAGGCACAGCAGACAGAAAACAGGATATGGTTGTATAGGAATGTCAGTCATGGAATGTAGAGTCCACCGTAGGTACAGATCCTATTTTGACAATGTAAGAAGTGTAACCTTAGAGAATGCACAGAACAGATATACCTAATCTTATGGGAGAGGAGGCATGCTAGCTAGTTTGGAGGACTAGGCAGGATATCTTGAGTATGTCTATTTGTCCATTACAGTTATGGTCTATTAGACCTTAAAGTCTAAAAGTGGAAAGGAGAAGATAATCACATTATACTATGACAAGAATAACTGATAAAATATACCATGCATAAAAGTAATTAACTCTGCCTGGGCAGAGGAAAATGATCAGAAAAGGTTTTACTGAGAAGGGACAGTTGACGTTGAGCTATGTACTTAGACAAGACTAACCTTTCAAAGCTCCCATTCCCTCCCCAAGCTTCTTTGTCTCTATCTTCAGAGATCAAGAAGAAACGCCATTACCTGCACTTGCCTAACTTCCAATACTGAACCTTTCCACCACTACCTGACTTAAATCCACAGGACTAATCTCACTATGCTCTTTATGTCAATCACAGAATCTCTGGACTCCCAGGTCACTGTCATCTCCCTATCTCCCTCATCCTAATCCTCCTCTAGCTCTGTGGTAGGCTAAAAAATGGTCTCCCAAAGATATCGGGTCTTAATCCTTACATTCTAAGTCTTATGTGGAAAAAGGGTTTTTATAGACGTGATTAAGTTGAGGATCTTGTGATAGGGAGGTTATTCTGGATTATACCTAGTTAGGCCTCCAAATGGCCTCAAAGGTGTCCATACAGGAGAGAGGAAGAGATTGAGTGATGCGGCCAGAAGCCAAGGATTGCTGGCAGGCACCAGAAGCTGAAACAGGCAAGGAACAGATTCTCCCCTGGAGCCTCCAGGGGGACTACAGCCCTGCAAACACCAGAATCTCAGCTCAGCGACACTGAGTTGGCCTCCAGAACTGTGAGAAAACAAATTTCTGCTGTTTAAAGCCACCTGGTTTGTGGTCATTTGTTACAACAGCCACAGAAAATGAAGAGTCTTCATATCTCACCCCTGCCCTACCTTGTGAAGGTCTCTGGAACTCACAATCCGTCACTATCAAAACTGGCTTGGTGATGAATGGAGTCTCACTTCAGCCAGGTCACGACCGCTGTCCCAGAGTTCGAGTCTGGCCGGGTTTCTGGCTGATACCAGAGTTTGAGCCTGTTTCCTATTCTAGGTCTCCTCTCTGCCCTCAGCCCCTGCTTCATGCTCTGGTCTCTCTTGTCCCAAAATAAATAAACGTTGAAAAAAAAAAAATTAAAAAAAAAAAACAAAAAAACCTCTAACTTCAGTCCCTCCTCTAAATGGTCCCTTCATCTTCTTGAACCAGCTGCTCCCAGGAAGATGCAGATTCCCCTCCCCGTCAGGAGGTGGCCATTTTCTCCCTTTTACCTCCTAAAGGATGAACTACATTCATGCTTGCAGACCATTTGTTCTCTCTCCTCCCTAAAAATCCCCAGCCTTGAATATAATGTCATCAGACTCTATAACCCTTTACATCCTCATGGTATAGCCAACCTCTGGGTCACTCCTCTTTATTGGCTGGCTGCTAATTTCATATCCTGGCTCACTATTACTTTCTCTGAGAACACTGAAGCAACCTGTAGAGAACTCTGTCAAAACTCTCATTACAATTACCTACCCATTATCATCTGTATCTGTGCCCTTGTCTTCTCTCCATTATGATGGATGAACCATCTATCTTCTAAGGTCAGTCCTGCTTTGCTTAGATAAGGATCCATGCACTGGACTTCATGCTATCCTGCCTCCTCAAAGACATAACTCCATAATTCTCTCCTCTTCATTGTCATTTTTTCCCACTGGATCATTCTCATCAACATACAAACATACTGCTATTTCCTTCATCTTAAAAAACCTTCCTTTGTTCCCACTTCGTCCTCAGACTACTCCTCCATTTCTCTGAAGCTCTTTATAGCAAAACTCCTTGAAAGAACTGTCTGTACTCAGTTTCCAATTCTCTCCTAAACCTATGTCACTCAGACTTTCACTATGACTACACCAAAAGTGCTCATCTTGAAGTACCATCACACTGCTAAATCTAATGGTCAATTTTCAGTCCTCATCTAACTTGATCCAGCAGCAGCATTTGATATGGTTATTTATCTTTCCTCCTCGAAAATTATCTTTCCTTGGCTGTCAGCACACCAAACTTCTGGTTTTTTTCCTCTACCTAATTAGCTGTTTCTTTTCTCTTTTACAAATGTTCCAAACTTGTAACAGATTTTCTCCTTGGATCTTCTCTGGGTATCTATACTCACTCCTTTGGTGATTTGATAGTCATGGCTAAAATACCACCTAGAAAATGCCAAGAACTCTAAACTTTATGATCTCAGTTTGGATCTCTTTCCTGAACCTCCCTGGATTCACAATTCTGCTTAAACAATTATAACAGGGCATATCAAACTTAACCTCATACCTGCTTCAGTCAGAGCCTTCTCTATTTCAGTTAATGGCAACTCCACCCTTCTAGTTGCTCTGGCCAAAAATCTCTCTCCTATCCCAATCAACCTTCACGGTACATTAGGAACCTGACTACTTCTCAGCACTTCCACTACTATCAGCCCAGATCAAGGCACGGACTCATCTTACTTGAATTATTGCAACAGCCTCTTATCCCCCTATTCCCACTGCTGCCCTCACTACAGCGCATTTTTTAGTCTAGACAATCTAAAAAACTCCCTGATGGTCCCATTTCTCTCAGAATAAAAGCTGAAGGCCTTCAATGGTCAAGAAGTCCCTTCAACATCTGCTCTTCTTTCCATTTCTCCAATTTGAACTTTCTTCTGTTCACTAGTCCATTCCTTCCAGGTCACACTGGCTACCAAGCTCTAATTGCTCCTGGCAGATGGTAGGCATCCTTCAGCCTCAAGTCCACTGTACTGGTCATTCTTTCTACTCAGAAAGCTCTTCCTCCAGATATATAAAAGGCTCATTCACTCTCCTCCAAGTCTTTGCTTAAGTGTCACCTTCTCACTGAGGCCATTCAAAACTGTAGCTCCTTCTCTTGGCATGTCTGATCATTCTTACCCTTTTCTATTTTTTTCCATAGCATTTAAAGCACTATCTAATATTCTACAGAATTTACTTACTTCCTGTTTTCCCCAACTAGAATTTAAGTTCCAGAAGGTCATAGATTTTTCTCTGTTTTATTCACTGATATATTCCATGGCCCATCTAACAGGGCCTGGAAAATAACATGAACACAACAAATATTTGTTCAATGAACAAATAAGTCTTAAAAACAAAGAATTTGTCAGGTATCAAGATTAGAAAGGGTATTCCAGAAGAAGGGATGGCAAGTGTAAATGCATAAACATGGAACATTTAAAAAGATACAAGTGATCTCTTGATGCTGTAATGTTATTACCCTAGTTCTGTTTCTCTTTATCGCAAGTTCCCTTAATTTCTTTTTTTTATGTTTATTTCTGACAGAGTGAGAGAGAGACAGAGCATGAGTGGGGGAGGGGCAGAGAGAGAGGGAGACAGAATCTGAAACAGGCTCCAGGCTCTGAGCTGTCAGCACAGAGCCCGACGCAAGGCACGAACTCACAGACCGCGGGATCATGACCTGAGCCGAAGTCAGACGCTCAACTGACTGAGCCACCCAGGCGCCCCTATCGCAAGTTCCTTTAAAAGAGTTGTCTATACTTGCAGTCTCCAATTCATCCCCTGCCATTCCCTCTTGATCTACTCCACTCAAGTTGTTGCTCTCATCACTACCGTATGGAAATTGATAATTGAAGTCACTAAATTGCAGCATTGCTAAATCAGATATAGTAGTCAAGATACAGTTCTCAATTGATCTAATTTTAATCACAATATTTAATATCAGGTCATTCTCTCTGAAATACTTTCTTTAGCAATCTTCTAAAAAACATTCTCCTTGGTTTTTCCCTTCTCACTGACCACTTCTAAGTCTCTTCTGTTGGTTATTCATCTCCCTAACCTCTTACCATTGGAGTGCCCCAAATCTCAATCCTTGGGTCACATCTCTTTTCTATGTACATAAACTACTGTGAGAGTATCATCTAGTGTTCTGGCTTTTAAATCTAAATGCCAATGGCTTACAAATTTATATCCCTGATCAACTCCAGACTTATTTATCCAACTGCCTACTCCTCATCTCCAGCTTGGATGTCTAGTATGTATCTCAAAAAAAAAAAATCTTAAGTTTATTTATTCTAAGAGAGAGAGAGAGAGAGAAAGATGCAGGAAGGACAGAGAGAGAGGGAGAGAGAGACAGAGACAGAGAGAGAGAGAGAGAGAGAGAGAGAGAGAATCTCAAGCAGGCTCTGCACCATCAGTCCAGAGTGATGTGGGGCGGCTTACAAATTTATATCCCTGATCAACTCCAGACTTATTTATCCAACTGCCTACTCCTCATCTCCAACTTGGATGTCTAATATGTATCTCAAAAAAAAAAAAAAAATCTTAAGTTTATTTAATCTGAGAGAGAGAGAGAGAAAGATGCAGGAAGGACAGAGAGAGAGGGAGAGACAGAGACAGAGAGAGAGAGAGAGAGAGAGAGAGAATCTCAAGCAGGCTCTGCACCATCAGTCCAGAGTGATGCAGGGCTTGAACTCACCAACTGTGAGATCATGACCTAAGCAGAAACTAAGAGTCAGAAGCTTAGCTGACTGAGCCACCCAAGCACGTCTGCAGTGCAAATTTAACATGTCCTAAACTCAACACATCCAAACCTGCTCCACTGTGTCTCCTCCATCTCATTTAATGGAAACTCCATCTCCACCTGCTCAGCTCAGAAACATCTTTCTCTCACATCCCACATCCACTCGATCATCAGTCATGCTGGCCTTGACCTTCACAACATGTTCACATGGGCCACCTATTGCTATCACTCTGATCCAAGTGGCCATTCTCTCTCATGTACATTATTGCTGTAACTACCTAAATGGTGTTGTTTCCACCTTCCTTCCTACTATCTATTCTCAACCTAGTAACCAAATCATCCCTTTACACTTAATTCATGTCACTCCTCTGTTAAAAACCCTCCAGTGGTTCCCATATCACTGGAGTAGAGTCATAATCCTTGCAATGGCCTGTAAAGTATTACACAGTTTAACACTTCCCCCCCCTCCCCAATTCCCCATCCAGTACCTCTCTGACCTCTTCATCACTCTTCCTTCACTCACTAAGCTCCAGCCATTGGCTACCGTGGCATACTCCCACTGCAGAATCTTTATATTCCCGTTTTTTCTTCTTTGTGTCAACTCTTCCTCCAAATAATCATGGGGTTTACTCACTTTCTGCAAGTCTTTACTAATATGTCACTTTCTTAGCCTTCCCAGACCAAATATTTAAAATTACTCACCTGACCCCATTTCACTATCCTATTATATATTTTCTCCATTAACTTATCAGTGTCTAATATAAGACCACATAATTTCCTTATTTAATTTACTGTCTTCTACTAAAATCTGTTCCATGAGGGCACGGATTTTTGTCAAGTTTGTTTGCTGCTGTACCCTTAGAGCCAAAAGAGTGCCTGGCACATAGTGGCTACTGGTTAAACATTTGTTGAAGAAACAACTATGGATAAATGGAAAAAGTGTCAAATACTAAAACTGACCAATGCTGGAATGAGTCTCCTTTGAAAGTGTTGGGCAGATGTTGGGTGATGTCAAGTAAATAATGGGAATATGGTTTTAGAATAATTTTCTGCAATGGGAAAGAAGTTTAAAGTATTCTAAAAATTTTGTCAAAAAAGAAAAAAGGTAAAATCAAAGATCAATATCTATTACATAGATAGAACACAGGCACGTACAGAAATTCCACAGATAAATGGTTGCATCTTACACCTGTGAAGAGACACTGGCATAGATATCTAGTCCATCTCCAAAAAAATCCACTCAGGAAGACCAAATCTCATTTTACTAATTAGGAAACCACTGCTGAATTGTCCTCCCCAATAAGTTGGCCCCTGGTTCCCTAACTTAATAAATGGCACTATCAATCACCCACCCACATGCTCATGCCAGAAATCAGAGTCTTCCTTTTAACACTGCCCTGTCACCCTCCACATTAACAACCTCACCAAGTAACACTTTAGGAACCAAGGCCAGGCCATTGGAGTACCATTCAAGGATGACTTATGATACAGAGATTGAGGTATTTTAAATACCGGTTGGGACTGTGTTGGGAGTCTCAGTTCTAACATTTCATAGCTATGTTATTTTAATGTCTCTAAGTTTCAACTTTCAGGCTTATAAAGTAATAGTAAGTACATCTAATTGTAGGGACTAAATGAGCCGATGTATGTACAGGACTCGGCACATAGCACTCACTAATACGACCTTTTTATTATTATTCTGTAGCTCCTGTCTGGCCATCATCTCGGCTAACTCTATATCTGAAATATTAAATTCCACATCCAGTTCTGAATTGGATTCTTCATCTAGAAAAATCATAGTCCCTATTCCTTACCTTAGTCCTACCTGTAAATCAAGACGCAGTTCAAGTTCTAAGTTTTTCCCAGTCTTCCATCACCCCTTCGCCTTCAGCCAGGCTTCCTTCCAAATGATCACTCCAAAGGAGAGGGATCATTTAAGAACCTGGGTAAGCAGTCTCCAACGCTCACCCAGCAGGTATTTACTGAAGGTTCACAATGACCTAGATAATGCTTTAAAAAGCAGGAGTAGTGCAGTCAAAAAGACTGAAATCTCTTCCTTCAAGGAGCTGACCTTCTAACTGGCCGCTCGTACCTCTCACCCAGCCGGGCACAAAATCAAAGAGACAAGATGTAGCCACTCAGATCCAAACCGGAGAGTTCCCCAACGAGCCCCTGAGAGCGCGGCCTCAGTTCGCGATACCGGAGGGCGGAGGGTGGGCGGGACCACGGGCCGCGCACGGCTCCCTTGACGGAAGACTCAAGAGAGCAGCGCTGAGAGTTTCGGCTGGGAAAGGCACGGATCTCCCCAAGCAAAGGGGCGGCCGCGCCGAGGTCCCTGACTTACCGCCCTTTCACCATGGGGGCGACGACCACCCAGCCTGAGAAGCTCAGCGCCAGCGGCTACGGCTCTGGTTTAAACTCCGCAGCCGTTAGCGGTTGCCACATCAGCCAATCAGATTCCCAGGAGGCCGCGCAAAGGAGCGCGGTTACCAGGAAGCGGGAGGTGAAGGGGCGGTACCTCGAGCTGAGGGCCAGAGGGGGCGTTTCCAGGCAAGGCAGGGGCTATTCAACGAAGGTGAAAGTGGCAGCTTGGACCATGGGCGGGGCTGGGGGTGGTGGTGGCGGGTGGCTGTTGTTCTGTCTTTTGATGCATTGACCGAAAAGGAAACGTTCCTTTAACAAAAATGCCTTTATTAGAGGTCTAAAAGGCGTAACAGTCATCTTTGCATTATGATGCCAGGACCTTTATTTAGTTTTTCACTTAAAAGCATTCCCTATTTTTCTTTCAACTTGCTGAAGGAAAAGTGGCAATGAAATTTCTTTGAACATTTAGGTCTTAAACAAATGGTTTGATTCAACTAAATATACAAGAATGGCATTTTCCGTTACACCCAACTACATTAAAACATATATTACTCACTTTGTGTTCCAAGTCAGTTAGTTTTCCTTTCACGAGTGACTTTATAATCTATAGAAAAACCTGGGAAAACTACACTGAGAATAAAATATCCTCTTTGTATGTCATTAGACAGAAACTGAAAATAGCTTACTAAATCTAGATTTTAATAATTGGTTATAGAGAGATGCAGTCAACTTCATATTCCTGTCATTTTTTTTGTCCATTTGGGGACATTTGAGAATCACAGATTTCCACTTTACCTTAGAAAATCTAGAAGAATTATGTCAAACATGATTCTGAGTTAGATCTTTTAGTTTAATATCTTTAAAGATTGGTGTCCAAAGAGATCTGGCTACATGAATCTTGTATAAGTAGAAGAGTATTTATTGATTGGCCAGCTGCTAAAATTACAGTTTATAGTTCAGTAAAAACTTCAATATAAGTGGTTCAGTATGTAATATACTGGTTTTAGAAATTTCTGGTTTATCTACAGATTAACTAGCACAGTATCTTGTTTACCCAGCCTGACACATTAAATGCTCAATATATGTTACATGATTTTTAAATGAACCATGACATGGCTCTGCCATTTAGTGCCTATTTAATCTTGGCCAAGTCACATAATCTCTTTAAGCTTCTGTTTCTTCATTTGTAATATGGAGGTTAATAACAACATCCAATATATTTTTATGATGGTTCCAATCAGCAGATCATTTTGTTCAAATACATTAATATTTTAAAAAACTAAATACACTTACATTGCTTTTTTCTTGTCTTATTTTGTAGCTACTACTTCAAAACCAAAACAAATAGAAAAGGGAGAGTAGCCAGAGGTAAAAGAGATGTTCAAAACTTTTTCAAGATGTGAATACCAAAACCTATTTTTTAAAAAAAGTGATAATTAACTTATTTTGGACAGTTGAAAGAATTTAACAAACCAATGCTTTGTAAATTGTAAAAATCTCTTGAAAATGTAAATTCTTTTCATTCACAATCATAAACTTAAAAGGTATAATTAATTGAACTGAATTTACCTTGATTTCAGCCTGCTTTTAGGTCATTTGCCTCTTGGTAGAATGGATAGAGGCAGAAACCCTGAACTAGGAGTGTGAAGAGACAGTTAGTTGTACCTTGAACACACATTAGCTATGTGTTCTTTGTTGTAGTCTCCTTATCTGTAAAATAAACCAGTTAAATTAAATGAGCTCTTGGTCCTATTATGATACTCTTATCATACCTGCACAAGGTACTGGTTTTGCTCCTCTTCCTCCATTTTCCTTTATTCCTACACCCATTAATTGCCTGATTTTTTTTTACCTAAGGGTAGATTCCAGTCAATTAAAATTTGATTGCCCTGACCCACCCCCCCCCCCTCGCCAATCATCTAAGAAAAACAGTCCCTGTCTAGGAGCTGAGTAGAAGACACATATTGCAAATCAATAAACCAATAAAACAAAATAGAAATGGTGTACTTACATTTTATTAAACCATCTGAATGCATAATGTATATCAATCTGGCAGGTTGAATTGCACCAAGAAAAACTAACCCAGGCTGACAGAAGCAGAAAAGGGCATTGGGTGGTTTAAAGCACTTCTGGAGAGGATAGAGAAGTGGACTTGAAAACAGGAACAAGTTGGGGCGCCTGGGTGGCGCAGTCGGTTAAGCGTCCGACTTCAGCCAGGTCACGATCTCACGGTCCGTGAGTTCGAGCCCCGCGTCAGGCTCTGGGCTGATGGCTCAGAGCCTGAAGCCTGTTTCCGATTCTGTGTCTCCCTCTCTCTCTGCCCCTCCCCCGTTCATGCTCTGTCTCTCTCTGTCCCAAAAATAAATAAACGTTGAAAAAAAAAAAAATTTAAGAAAACAGGAACAAGAGGGTCTTGGCAACAAAGACCCAGCACGGTCATGCTACCAGCACAGCTTGTGAGGATACTGTTGAATTTACATAGCCAGCAGTGGCCCTACATGCTACCACTGGGACCTCCACCACTGCCACCTTTAGAGAAAGTGGGCATCACCCTAATATAGGTCCCCCATCCCTGCTGCCTGGTGCCAGTAGCTCCTGTTGGTAGGCCTGCATTGAGTGTGTCTCACTGGTAAAGCCTGGATCATAAGCTACAAAGTCTAGCTGGAAGGGAGTTCTGAACATTCAGCCGGGGTCTGGCTTTTTTAGCTTCTTAGTAAGAGGCCACCTCTACCTCCCATTTAGTCTCAGGAAGGGCTTTTGAGCTGGGCAGCCAAAAGAATGGTAAAGGTTCTTTTCAGCATTTTATGCTACTGTATTATAATAATAATTTCTATTTTCTTCAATGAAAAGACTTCCTGCTGTGCCAGGTTAGGAATAGGTAATAATCATAACAGCAGCAGATAACATTTATCTAGCATTTTCCATATCCTAGGCACTGTGTCAAGCCCTTTATATGCCTTTTCAATTCTCACAGTGATCCTATGTGGTAGGTACTATTATTTCCTTTTTATGGTTGAGAAAACTGAGGCACAAAAAAATTTAAGTAAATTCTGCAAAGTTTAGTATGTGATACAGCTAGAATTTGAACACAGGCAGTTTGGCCGGGGCCATTTTGAGATAGTGGAAGAAATGGCTGGTCACTGTCATTTCAGTTTCAAGGCATGACATTCATCATGTAAATTTACTTATGTTACCTGCTTGCCAGCTTTCTCTTTTTCTTCAGTTTATTTATTTTTAGTCCTTTTTGCATTTGCCATTATGCTAGAGGTGAAAATGGATGAGGCAAATCCTGTTTCCTTAAGGGATAAGGCAGACAAGCAAACAATCCATTCCCATACATTATAAGTAGAGATTTAAGATGATTCAACATGGTCTCTCTGGTTTCTGCAAGGGCAGGGAATATGTAACAGGGGAACTAAGCAATCTTATCTCTGACCTAAGTTTATGTATGTGTGGCAGGGAGGCTTCTCTGGGGGAGGGATAAAATAATCAGGGGTCTTGGTCTAACTGGCTGTCTGGCTGGATGACCTCCAGCCAGAGGACTTTTTCATCACCTCTACCCTAATCCACACGCTGGGCTGTACTGAGACAGGGGTTGAGTCTACTTCCCAATCGCTAGCCTGTGCCTCCACAGGATTTTCCAAAGAGGTTCAAGCATCTCTTTACTCAAGATTTCCTGTGATAAAATCCAAACCATACACACTGGAGGCTTGGGGAGGGCTTGAAAAGTCAGCTGTCATAATCACTAGCTTCACTAACAGATTTACATTAACATGCACTATCCAACAGTGCAGGGCCCTGAAGCCCAAAACTCCAGAGTTCTCTCCACATGGACATTCCCCTGGCTGCTGGAGTGGGTCCCAAGAGACCTCCATCTGTACCCTTCCTCAACATACCCAGTTTTTGTTCTACTCCTCACTACAAATGCAAAAGAATAGCAGTCATGGACACTAATGAATTCAGCTGTTTGAAGTCCCTTCAGGATATCTAAGGTAGAAATGTCCAGCAGGCACACAGATATAAAATATCGAACTCAAAAGAGATAGGTGAGTTTGAACACAAAAGTGCTTGGTAAACTTTCAAATTCATACAAATGTAGGACTATGAGCTTTCATTTTATTTAAAACGTTTGCTTCCTTGGGGTGCCTGGGTGGCTTAGTCAGTTAAGGATCCGACTCTTGATTTCAGCTTAGGTCATGATCTCATGGTCATGGGATTGAGCCTCACATTGGACTCCATGCTGAGAGGGCAGAACCTGCTTGGGATTCTCTTTTTCCCTCTCTCTGCCCCTCTCCAGCTCTCTCTCTCAAAATAAATAAACATTAAAAAAAAAAAAAAAACATTTGCTTCTTTTGGAAAAAAACCATCTCAACATTTAAAAAATTTTTTCTCCTATAGTTTCTCTAACAGAATGAAAGGAAATAGTTTGTACCTAAAACTCCGCACTGTTATATCAACCCATACACAAAGGTAGGGCCTCTTAAGATACAGTTAGTCATAAAAAGAAAAATAAAAAGTACTGGTTTCAA